TCATCATCATCATCATCATCATCATCATCATCATCATCATCATCATCATCATCCATTATCATCACCATCCATTATCATCATCATCATCCATCATCATCATGAGTATAGCTGAAAGCTTATTCAATTAAAAGATACCCATCTACGAGGGCTGTCCCACGGAAAACCGGAAGAGGTCCATGAAAGCAAAAATCTTTGTCCTATTAGAATACAAATGTAACACATTATTATCATACCTCAACATGTGCTTTATTTCTCAATGGGATCACCATCCCGCTGGACGCATTTTTCCCATCGCTGGATCAGGGAGAAGATACCCTCCCGGAAGAACTTTTCGTCAAGGGATTTCAACCAATCTTTACTTCTCGGCTTCCACGAGGTCTTCGTCGTCGGCGAATCACTGTCCAGTAATATGGCGTTTCTTTGGTCCAAAAGGTGATACTTTTACGGGGCCAAGTCAGGACTGTGAGGGAGGTGTGGCAGAACTTCCCAGCCGAACCTTTGGATCCAGTCTTTCGTAGCGGTTGCGGTGTGTGGCGTTGTGTTGTCATGCTGCAAAATGACCCCGCTGGACAACCGGCCTGGTCCTTTTCGGTGCACAACCTCTCTCAACTTATCAAGAGTCTGGCAGTATCTGTTAGCATTGACAGTTTGTCCTGGTTCCAGAATGTCAAGAAGCAGATAACCCTTAGCATCACAGAAAACCGTGGCCATGAGTTTCTTCACCGATGGATGAACTTTAAACTTTTTCGCGGGAGGTGAAGACGTGTGCTTCCAAACCATTGAATCCCTCTTCGTCTCAGGGGTCATGTGGTGTATCCAAGTCTCATCACCTGTAATAATGCTTCTCAGGAATGTTTCATCGTATTGTTGGAGGTCTCTAGATGCGTTCATGACTCCCGTAACGCGCCTCTCTGTTTGAATGAGTTCGTTAACGCTACTCTTGTTGTCCTCAGTCTTGGCAGAAAAACAAGGTCCTGGGTGAACTTTGTCATTGACATCCGTA